AACACCACATGCTGGTATGCTTCATGTTAGCAGGCTAAACAAAGGGCTAACAGCTAGCTTGTGCTAGTAATGTAACAAACTCGCTAAACACACAAGAAACTCATTACTTTGCTGAACAAGGTACTAATAAGTGGGAACAATAAACCGCTTTGGCACACTTACAGATTATGTCTTTTCAAGGGCGTCAGATGCAGGAAATTACAGAGACACAGAGAAATGGACCTTCCCTGTCGAGCGCTGGGAGAAAAAAAACTGCTTGCGCTCTAACATGGCACTACCCTGTCAACCAGGCTTTGTCCAGACAATATCAGGAATAAACATATTTTCTGACACGTTGCAACAGTTAATTACAGAACGAATGATTATGACCCGCCATATAACAAACTTATAAAAAACATACCTTAGAAATAACAGGAGGGACAGAATAAAGTCTGTTTGTAAAAGCCAAAAATAAAATACATGATTTTACATTGTATATTGTATTTTTTAGGTCTCCGTGGAAAAGATTTATGTTACATCTATAACTGCTTATTCAATTTATCGTCATGGCAGGGTGGATTTAGGCTGACTTTCAACAAAAAAAATTATTCATTTTGTTTTAATGCTAAAGGGGAAAAAATTATGTGCTGAAAACTTTTATCTTAAATTTTTGTCTGTACAGGTAGAGATCACTCAAGAAGGTGAAAGCATTTCTATTAGCTGGAATGACTGAAAATGTGCTGACAGTCTGAGGAGGTTTTTTGACATTTGCTCACAAAGTAAAAGACATTTTCCAAATTGAAAAGAGAGAAAACTTGTGAATTCCATGGTGGTTCTTAGTTTCCATTTTGATATGCTCAGATGAGCCTATGCTCTCCAAAGTTTGATTGTACGTATCAATGTATAATTTCCAATTAGAAATGGAGAAAAGTGATCATCACTGTATTAATTTTATAGGTAATGTATAACGACAGTTGAATAGTGAAACTTGTTGCCTGAAAATTGCCTGTAAGTGCAGTGTACACTCAAAAAAATAAACTAGGGCATGTGTTTGATTAGCAAAGCAGTAATATGTTTACATTACATGAAGAAATCATTTTTATGGGTATTAAATGATTCATTCTTATTTGTTGAATATGAGTCAAAGAACATTCTGATGATTTAAATTCATTCATGGCAATCCACTGAGAATGAGGTCCATCAAACCAACGACTCAGATGGTGTCATGTATTGTGCATGCTCTACGCCCACCGGATGCGGAAGAGACCGTTGAGACGTTAACGAGCGCACGTGGAGTTAGTCCTTTGGTATACTTGACAGTAAGGTAAGTTATTCACATATCTCTTTATATATTTATTTATATATATATAAATACTATTTGTTAAATGTTTTACCCATGTAGTGTGGTAACTTAGAGGAGCTTTATACTGTATATCAGGGAGTGTGTAGAGCCAAACACTTTTCACATGTAAGTTGGTGAATTTGAAGTTTTTTCCAACTTAACCAGAGTCGCTAATTGTTGCAACAGAGCAAAAACTGACGAGGCTATTTTGGTAAGTTCGGTTTTTGTGTCTGTCGACTTTGAATGAGGTGTGTTTCATGGTTATCTGCAAGGTTGGGACTGTTTTTTCTCTGGAGTTAGCTAACTTTGAAGCGCGTCATGTCGGCGGGAAAGCCGCGTAGAGTAATGTCTTCGCATATAACGCCTTGAATGAAGGGTTACTTTCTCCTTAACCGAAGTTGGTGATTGTTGGTAGCAGTGGTAAGACTGACCGAAACAGTTTTGGTGATTTTTTTATGATGCTGTACCTAAAATTGCTGTTTTTGTCAGTGGAGTTTAGTAAGGGAACGACCGCATTAACTGGATGGATGAAGGGTTGAATTCAACTAAACCAGTGTTTTGCGGATTTAACAACAAGGAGTAAGAGAAAATCTGTCACAATAATTGCATGTGCATTTTCTTTTTTTTGTAATATCTTCACTTAGTTTTTGAATTCAGAATGATTTAGGTAGATCATTGTTCGGGTTAGGGCTGGACGATATGGCCTAAAATTCATAACGCGATATAATTTGAGGCATGTGCGGTAACGATATATATCGCGATATATTCTTTTCTTCTGTATAACGTATTTTCCACACTATAAAGCACACTTAAAATCCTTTAATTTTCTCAGAAATCGAGAGTGTATGCACTTATGTATGAATTCTGGTTGTGCTTACTGATCTCGAACCGATTTGGGCGTGCAGAAAACTGTTAAAAAATGTTTTAGTACAACTTTGGTAAGCCGCACTGCTTGATGGATTGTCAGAGCATTACGGTTGCCGTAGTGAGGAGCTTTGCGGAGTAATCTGTGTCCAAAACTCTGTCCATTTCAGGTCCCAAAGTCAAACAAACACTGAGAAATTCGGTCTAAATTCTTTAATCTTTAATAAAATCATCAGTGTTGCTGCTTTACCAGGTGTAACAATTAAGTTTAATATCCAGGCATCCATGAAAACAGAAGTTATTAAATTTAACGGAATTAGAAGTTAGCAGGAAGTTAGCTCGCTAGTTTCCACCTAAACATGATGTAACCAGTGTGATTCTGCGTTGTGTCTGATAAAAAAGGTAAAAGAAAGAAAGACCTCCAAGTAAATAATTTGCCCACTCCAGCTCCTCTCCCACAGGGGAATTGTAGGAAAAGGGCGGCATTTATTTTTACATTAAACATA